TTGTCCATGTAAGGCAGATGAGCTGTTACCCTAGCTCTTAGGAATATTGGCATTTGTTGTTTGAGGTGGGAGTTTTCTGTTATCTTCTTCCTGTGATACAGAAAGATCTGAGGCCCAGAGATTGAGGTAGTGATTCCCAGTTTGAGCTCAGGGCTTCTGCCTCCAAGGCCCATGCGATTTGCACGTTAAGGGCCTGCCAACAACGAGTTCCTAAAAATAGGTGGTGATGGCTAGTGCTTTAAATATAGCTTCATTGAGCCCAGCCTAGCACCCCTGGTTGACAGGTGAGAAAACCAGATCCTTGGGGAATGTCTCCTCACTTGCGTGTCCAGGAAAAGTGGCATCGGTATTAAACCATGCTCGCCTTTAATAAGGACTTTATATTTTGTACATTCCTGGGATTTACGGTCCTAAAGACTGTCAGTCATGCTAAATTCACATGGTTCCTATGTTCTCTGTGTTGGAGAGAGATGGAGGATTCCCCTTCCCACCCCACACTGCCCTCAAGTCTGCTTCCTTCCTTCTGCTGTGTTCACACTGTGGCCTCTAAATTGGGTCCTGTTGTGTTGAACAGGCTGAGCAGGTGGTGCAGCTTGTCACCTTAAATCTTTTTTATTTATTCTCTGTGTCTTTCACATCACGCCTCCCGATCCCATCTCTTATCCCACCCCAAATTCAAACAAAATTTAAGAGAAAACAAGGGGGAAAAAAAAGGAAGGGGACAATCTCGTCGTGGAAGCTGCACTGTGACACAGAGAGTCACGCAGTAAACTGTAAACCCCTTTATGCGTACATGTTTACACGTGGGCGTTTATTGAAAAGAATCATTGGTCTAGTTTGAGGCCCCTGGTCTCTGCTGCACCATTGATGCTAGGCTCTCACTGGGACTCTTCCTGGACATCCCATTGCCTCTCTGTGTTGTGGGAATCTGCAGCCCTGTGTCCATAGGACTGACCCCACCCCTCTCCTCCCGTCCTTTGCTCCAGCCGATCACGGATGGGGTGGGTGTTGGGGTGGGCCAACACATGGTCCTGGTTCTGGGCTTCAGTAGTTGCAGGGTTGGTCAGCTCACCAGCTCTCCCCAGTCTTTGCCCACTAGGGTGGGCTTTCCAGTATTGCCCTGGCTAGTTCATTGGGCGGGGCCAGTTCTGCTCTCTTGCTCTTAGGACCTCAGGGTCAGCTCTCCCACCTGCCTAAGGCGTTAATGGGCTGGGGTGTGGGAGGGCCTCTCTCCCCAACCTATGCTGCCTCAAGACAGATCAGTAATGGGGACAGTTCTCCCGTGCTCATAGTATCAGGGTTGACTCACCCACACCTCCGCCAACAGGATTGGCTCTCACCTTAAACCTTTATGGACAGATGATTGCTAGTGTGTGTACTGGGCTCCCTTGGGTGGGCCACTGTTGGAAGCCACACCAGAAGCTGACGATATCAACAGGCCCATTTTAAGGTCTTTGAGAGGTCAACGAGGCACAAGTAGACAAAGTGGTAGCTTGTCCGGAGTCATTCGAGCTAGTAAATGAGACAGTTGTGGTTCAGGACTCAGAAATAAAATGTTGCTCCATGCAGTTTAACACTGAACTTTGAACTCTCACCCCAGCACCCGGTAGGCTCTGTATCCAGCTACACAGCTGACTCACAGCCCGTACGCTCTGTCCACCTCTACAGTTTTTTTTTTTATTTATATTTTTTTTTAAATACTGTTCTCATCACTGACCAAATCCCTGACAGAAAAACTTAAAACAGAAATATTTATTTTGGCCTGTGATTTCTGAGTTCAGTCTACAGTCACTGCCCTCAGGCAGAACATACTGGCAGCAGGAGAGTGTGGCAGAGGCGGGTCTTTAGGGTAGGTAGACAGGCAGCAGAGAGAAGGGACATGCTGGGGCTTTGCTGGCTTCCCTCTCTTGGAGTGTCCTCACAGGCACCCCCAAAGGTGCGCCTCCCCAGGGTCCTATACTAGGAGACAGGGTCTCTGTGTAGCCCTGGCTGTCCTGGAGGTTGGCCCGTAGATCGTTCTGGCTTTGGACTCACAAAGATCTTTTGGCCTCTTCCTCTTGAGTTCAGGAAACGCCACCACACCTCGTGATCAGGACTTCTTAAACCATTTTTGCTTAACCTCTTCTAGTGTGATTATTTTTTAATATCATCCTAGGTGTGTAGGTCTATGAGATAGATACGCAAATCAAACATTAACCGATAAAATCGTAAATTTATTTAAAGATTTTTTGACATATATATAATTTGACTTTTTATTAAAGATGAAAACCAGTTTTCATACTGAGATGACCTTGCTTACGAAGCGTGGTATCTGGGCTGAGTGTTTACCCCTGAAGGACATAAAGCGTATCCAACGCTTTCAGTTCCAATCTGTTCTTTGTTTTTATAGTCGTCTGCGGTGCACACTGTGTTGGCACAGTTGTCCTGTGCCCTCTGCGCTGACTGATAGGCTGGCAGTAGAAGCTGGGTCATCCTCTGCCCTTTCACACCCAGACAGTTTATCTTGCAGCCCTTGTCCTCCAAGGTGGCCTTCTAGATGGCCATGCCCGCGTCACAGGAGGGAAGAGAACAGCAAAACAAACCAGAGTGTAATTGCCCCTGAGCAGCTAGGGAGAGGCCAGGCGGTGAAGCACTGCCAACCAAGGTCGCTGTTGTTTATGCCGTGTTGTAAAAGCTCGAGGGAGAGAAGGCGCGGGAAGTTCAACCCTGGAAAGCTCATCTCTGCCGAGAGCTCAATTAGGAACTCCAGCTGCCTGCCTCAGCTTCCCTCGTCGGTTACTGCTGGATGTTGTGAACATCCGATTGGATGTTTCCTGTCTGCTCTTTGTTCCCTTGAGGGGACCATCTGCCTCAGATGAGGTTCCTACTCTCTATGTTGGGAACTCCCGCTAGCTGCCTTAAAGTCCATTTCTGCTGAATGTTTGGCTGGTTTAATATCTGTCCGTCTGTCCATCTCTCTCACTATTTATTCTTAACTTGGGTGTACTGTGTGCTTATTCACTTACAACCAAGAGTACTCGTGTATCATTCTCCAAATGGTACCCAACCATCGTCCATGTCAGGAAAGCCGTTCATTTAAAGAGGTGGGGAAGACAGCCGCAGCAGGTGTATGGACTAATCCTAAGCCAGAATTCACTGAATTAAAAAAAATATCCGTGTATGGAGAAAGGGAGGGAGTGAGAGTGTGGGGGGCATGGGTGCGGGTGTGGGTGGGTGTTTACCCAGCATGCATGTGGAGGTCAGCAGACAGCTTGTGGGCATTGCTTTTCCCCTGCTTTGTGCATTTCTGGGTTTGAACTCAGGTCATCAGGCTTGCTGGCAGGTAGGTCCAGCCGAACCATCTCGACAACCCTTGATTTATTGCGCGTGGTACCACATTATATAATATTGTAGCTTGGGACATATACTCACTGTTATGAAGAAACCAGATACCACGACTGCGTTTGAGAAACCAGATTTCTTTGTCATTGGCAGAAGGTAGCTATAAATAGAAATGCAAAGACAGCTTTTAAATTCCAGCTGGATGCCATTGTCTGCCGGAGGCTTGGAACCTAAGACTCGAGACTTGTTTGGAAGGAAGCGTTCGGTATGTGCTGTTGAGGGGTTAAAAAAAAAAAGCCATGGTGCTGTGTTTGAGGCTACAGGGAGCCGAGGATAAGTTCATTTCTTACCCTCACCTCGTGGGTCTCCCATTGTCTTAGCGAGGGTTTCTGTTGCTGTGAAGAGACAACATGACCACGGCAACTATTTTTTTTTTAAATATTTATTTATTTATTTTGTATACAATATTCTGTCTGTGTGTATGCCTGCGCACCAGAAGAGGGCACCAGACCCTCATTACAGATGGTTGTGAGTCACCATGTGGTTGCTGGGAATTGAACTCAGGACCTTTGGAAGAACAGGCAATGCTCTTAACCTCTGAGGCATCTCTCCAGCCCAACGGCAACTCTTTATAAAGGAAAACATTAGATTGGGCCTGGCTTTATTTCAGAAGTTTAGTCCATCATCATCATGGTGGGGAGCACGGCTGTGTGCAGACAGATATCGTGCTGAGAGTTCTACATCTACATCTTGATCTGTAGGCAGAAGGAGGAGACTGTCCAGCACTGGGTGTAGCTTGAGCATATGAGACCTCAACGCCCGCCCCCACAGTGACACACTTTCTCCAACAGTGCCGTTCCCTATGGACCAGGCATTTAAACGCAAGGGTCTGTGGGGGCCATACCTTTTCAAACCACCACACCCATCGTGATCTTGCTCCCTTACCTGGGGAAATGCTCCCTTATATGGTGAGGAGGGAGCTGTATGAGTGGAGGTAAAGGGTCCTGGGTATGATTTACTGCTAGAGACTAGTTCACTGACATTGGTCCTCACTGGGGAATAAGACTAACTTGTGATAGGAGCTTGGGTAGAACGGGGGTGACCTTCATATCAGCCCCTATGGGGGTGATGCAGGTCGATGTAGTGGGAGTTTGGAGAAGGGCTCAGACTAAGACCTTTTTGGAGTGGGTCAAGTGTTTCCTGTTTCTGCAAAGAGTGGGCAGGGATAAGTCTCCTGCTGCTGGGAGTGACCCATTGTCTTTCTGTTCTGGATGAGCGACCTACCGGGGTTCTGCAGGGTAGGGTGTAATGACTGACTCCAAGACCCTCTTTTCCGTGGGATCTGCTTGTCATGGGTAATCAGCTGATAGGGGAAGATGAGGGGCGGTTGGGTGGAGGGATTGTAGAGATGGCATAGGATGTTCAGAACTTGGAGAAAACCAAAGGCGCATCTTGGTGGCCAGCAAACCGTCTGTGAGGGAGGGCCACCCCCAGTGGTGTTGGGGTGGACAGTGGCCAGGTTGGCCGGGTCCCAGGGCCAACTCTACTCCCCCTTGGTCCAGGTTGTCTAAAAGAACCTGCCGCCTCTGCTGTGGCCACACTTCCAGGAAGTGGTAAAGACAACAGGCAAGGGGCTCCAGGTGACCTTATCCGCGTCTTTATTACACTTTCCCCACCAGGAACCAGGATCATCTATGACCGGAAGTTCCTGATGGAGTGTCGGAACTCACCTGTGGCCAAAACCCCCCCGAAGGACCTGCCAGCCATTCCTGGGGTCACTAGTCCGACCAGCGATGAGCCTCCCATGCAAGTCAGCCAGAGCCACCTGCACAGCCCGGAAGAAAAGCGGGCAGGCGGTGGGTGCTGGGCCTGTCTGGGCTCTGAATTGTTTGTCTTTGGGGGAATTCCAAGTTTCAGGGAAGGGGGGTGATGGTGACCCTTTGGGGAGGAGCCGTGGGGAAGCCTAGGGGGTGGGGTGCCGGTGGGGAGCAGAACTTGCCCCCGTCAAAGCTCCAAGGACCCGTGCGCAGCTGCCGTGAATGCATCAGGTAGGGTGATTAGTGAGGAACTGATGGAGAATGCAGTGGCACCCCTCATCAGCCTGCCTTTCTGTGTCGCTGCTTGCCAAGCCCCAACACACATGCGCCACGCTTCTTCGTATATGTGGAGCTGGAGACAACGTATCAAAGACACGGTGCATGTCCCCTCTAGGAACGTACATGCCTACAAGATAAGAAGTAAACTCGGGTACCTCCTGGCCGGTGACTGGCCCTTCAGTGGATTATTGATGGAGACAGGCAGACAATGCCTCCTATTGTTACTTTAGCTTTGACATTTATATAGCTAGGTCCTTCCTGGTTTCCCCCTCCTCCCCAAAGTAATCAAAGCAGACACCCTGGCAGCCGCATGTGGGGTGTGAACATGTGTTTGTGGCAGCATGCAGAGCGACTGGCTGGCCGGAGCTTCTGAGCTCTCTGTTATACAAGCGTGTCCCCATGACGGTGTTATGTAAGCACGCCTGTGCACCCTCAGTCTGAGGAATACCACCTCTGACTTTCTGCTCTGAAGGTGGTACCCCAATCTCACGCTGGGGGCTGCTGACACCCTCCTGGCCGTGGGATGTGGTTCCTGATTACCCTGGTGGGCAGGGAGCTGGGTAGCACTGGGAAGGTGGATTTGACAGCGTGCAGAGAGCCGCATGACAGGTTCCCAGGTTACATGTGTGGTTCCCTGCCCTGTGTTCAAGGATGGAGGGATTCTTGGTGATTGCACACTGTCTTGCACCTTTACTTTTTTACCTCCAGTTAGAGATGGCAGTGAATTAAGTTAGGCTACGCCTGGAATTGTCACGACGAACTGAGAGACGTGCTTTCCTTGCTGGCAGGGTAAACCCACCCTGCTCCTTGTTTCTGATGATATTCTGGCTCTCAGCCCCCAAATAGTGGCCAGGTAGTCCCATACTGTCAGGCTGGGGGTGCATAGTTTTAGCTTTCTTTAACTGGACACAAAGCTCCAGCCCTTGGCCACGTGTTGAAAATGGAATTTATAGACAGTTCAGCGCCTTCACCTCCCTTATGAGGAAGTCTGGTTTCCTAGTCTAGTCAGCTTTTCTTTGGCAGCATGCACGCCTCCATTGGACCTATGAGAATAACTCCTGGCCTCTGAGCCTGGAGGGCTTCCATTTGCCTCTTGCTGATTGGTCCTCTGTCTTTTTCTCTCCACAGGTGAAGAGTCACAGTTTGAGATGGACATTTAAGGGACCAGCCATAGGACGGAGTGATGCCTCTGGGCCCCCGAGGCCCTTGGAAGGAGAGCCACAGCAGTCAGGCCTTAACACCAGGCAGATGTTGGGTGTGGGCAACCCAGTCCTGCTCCTTGCTCAGCCCCTGCTCCGCCTTCCATTTTGTGAACACCAGCACATACCTCCTTGTGCCTCTGATGATACTGAGCTGCTACTACAGGGGGATGATTCTTGTCCACACCCTGCATCCAGTGCCAGGAAGTGGACACAGAGGAACCCATCAGGATGACCGTCTGGCAATTCCAGCCCCAGCCTCTGGAGCACACCCACCCTTTCCTTGGGCTGGGGTACCTGGGAAAGCTACCCTTTTTACTTCTTTCCCTGAGAGGAAATAAAAGCCACCTTTACCCTAGGCCCAAGGTTGGGCCCTGTCTGAACTGTTTTCAACTTGAAGTGATAACACAGTTAACTCTCTGTTCCATGCTTGTGCTTACGTGAACTTTTCTTTACGTCATCTCTTGTGCTTATCAAACTCCAGCTCTCTAGGTATGCAGGGCAGCCTTACTGTTTACTGCTGAGAAGTCTGGATGGAGATAAAGTCGTTCTCCGTGGGACTGGGCTAGAACCCTGCTACTCTGTGATTCTTGTTTTTAGCAGCAACTAGGTGCTCACCTTTCCCCTTGCGCCTGTGCCACTGGGGAGCCTTTGAGATCCATGGGCACCTCGTACTGTCAGTCATCTGTTTGTATGTGCTGCTGCTGGGTCATGCAGAGGAGATAATCTCTCTGCCTTACGGATTTTACTGAAGTATACCATGTACCTATTAAAAAAAGGTAGCCTGAGCAGATTATGCGATTGGTTGTCAGTGGTCCGTGCAGGGGGAGGCTCGGAGGAAACGGTGTAGCTGGGGATGAGAATGGGAGGAAGTGGGTACTGAGCGTTTCAAAGGTCTCGGGGAGCCAAGATGAGTGAGGGTGATATTAAGGTACGTTGGTGTGTGAATGTGATTTACCAGTTGCTGAAGAAGAGCAGTTTTTAGGAATCCTGACTGCAGACCGAGTGGTATGCCGGGTCTCTCACTACAGGACCTGCTGAGGGGTGAGTATGCCTTGTGTAGGTTCTGGGATTATAGTGGTTTGTTACCAGTGGGCCTCAGTGGCCAGATCTTTTGCCCGCCTTTTCTCCAACTGATTTCCAGCCCCTTGCAAAGGACCCTGGAATGCGTGTGGTGGTGTATGGAAGGACCCGACACTTTGGTGTGTTGACTGCACACAGATTGTGTAGCCTCTTCTGTGTGTGGCATTTGAGGCCAGGGAGAGCCTACCACCAGAGCAAAGGTAACAACGGAAATTTCAGCTAGGTTAAAAGAGAGATTAAGTCCTATCCCTTATCTGTTAGCTTCCTGATGCAAACATTTCATCCCCCTGACAGCTCACAGGAGGTCTTGCTCACCCGCCTGCGTGATCCAGTGTTCTCCCATTTTCTCAGGGTCAGTGTATAATTCCCTGAGGACCAGAAGTCATAAAACCTGTGGAAGTTAGCAGTTTTCCTCCCTGAGAAGTGTCCTGCAGAGGAAGAACCAGGCTCTACAGGGTTAATTGTTGCTGGGTGCTATGTGGTGTCAAACTCTGCAGCCCAGCCCTTGTTTTCCAGGAAGGAAGGAAAATGGTGGGGAGATGAGTCTGGTCTGTTCATCTTGACATCTCTATGTGTTGGAATCTTGATGTTTTGTGGAGATGCTCTCATAAGAAACCCATCGGTTTGGCATGCCCACCCTCTGCTGTGACCAGAACCACTTTGAAGAACTCCCTGGCAACTGTCGACAGGGGTGCCACAAACCAGAAATACAGAGAAGCTGCCAGGTATGGCATGTGTTCCCAAGTAGTGAAACCTCATGGAGATGAACTGTCACCAAGCAATTACTTGTGGTTAGCTAGTCCCGGGAGGCTGCGGCTATTCTGGGAACTAAAGGTTCTGAGGTTTAAGAATCTTAGAGAGTAGCTGACCCTTGTAGTGGTTTTTATCCCAAGAAGTCATGAGTAGCCTGTGGTTCAGGGTCCCTGAGAACAAGTGTCCCCAGAGTAATTACCGGGGGTGACAAGGTTGGCATGATTGATGATGATGCTCAACCAGGTGGTGAGTGGAGGATGGACTGCAGGAAGAGGAGGCTTGCCAGTGCTTTGATGAAGATGCCAGAAGCGAAATAGATGTCAGAGGATGGGCCCTTCTTACCTGAACAATCACAGTTAGCAAAGGCATGTGTGTTGAGTAGCTTATGTAAATTTAGATGACAATGGGAGTCCGTTTGCTGGAACAGCGGAAAAAGCCATAATAGAATGACTTGTGCACGTCTGAAACTTTAAGAACTTGGCGGGCAGCATTTTTATTTTTTACACATGTCGGTGGTATATGAGTTTCGGGTTAGGATCCCAGTTGGTTTAGCCTCAAAGCTCAGGTCGCTTATGCCACACTGTGAATGGAAACGAAGACTGGACGGCTCGGCACTGTTAGCAGAGAACTGTTGCTTGGGTTGTCCGGACGAAGTTGAGACTCAAAGTAGGGATCCCTCTGTACAATTAACTGGGATAAAGATAGCTGTCACCCATCTGCAGGCCAATGGGTATGAGAAGACAGAAAATCACTTCCTGAGATCAAGACTTCAGACACCAGGCTGCCCTTAGCCAGTGTGTGTGCGCATGCGCGGTAGAGTGCTTGCCTAGTTTGTCCCCAGCGCTACATAGACGGGGGCGTAGTGGTGCATGACTGGAGGTGGATACGGGTGGGTCACTAAGTCTCCTTAGCAATCTGTGGTCAGCCCGGGCTAAATGAGATCAATGAAAAGAATAAATAAATGACACCGCTAAGGTCGGGGCCTCTGAATTTTACGCAGCACAGGACCATGAGTGGAATGTGTCCAGCAGGAATAGTGAAGGCGGAGGCAAACCCTTCCCCAGCTTGGTCAGAGGCCACAGCACAGAAAGCTATGTTGTAGGTATCCCATGTTCTTCAAAATCCGGAGCAGAGTTTGCTTCACCGCTTCGATAATTGGTTGAGTGCTGCCATCTGCTGGCAGATGTTATAAAAGAACTCACATCTCTCAGGTAAGGTTATTTCATTTAGAGCCCATCGGGAAGAAAGTGAAGATGCTGCATGTATTGAAGACCTAAGAACTCTTTCTGTGGATTATATGCAACGGACCCTCACCGCAGGAAGAAGAGGGAGGGGCTTCAGAATGTTGCCGCGCTAACTCTTGGTTTGAGATAAGGACCCTGCCTGTGGCCAAACTGCCCTCTGATTGGCCCACCACTCGGGCCTGCTGTTGCCAGCTGAGTCCTCCCAGGACAACTAGGAACAACGTTTGCTGGTGCATGGCTTGTCCCCATCTATGAGTGTTAAAACCCTTTCTAAGGCATTCCATGCGCAAGTCAGAAGAACGACTGCTTTCTAAAGAGAAGCGGGATCCCAAAGGTTAAAACAAAACAAAACAAAACAAAACAAAAAAAACCACAAAAATCTCAAACAAACAAAATACTTATAGGATGGTTTAGATTTGCGCTGGAACCATGAATATAACTGTGGCCAGTTTTTTTTTTTTTTTTTAAACAGGGTCTCATACAGTGCAGGCAACTCTTGAACTCCTCATTTTACTGCCCCTAATTCCTAATTCTGGGATTGTTCGGCGCAGTTCCCTTTTCTGAGCATTTGAACAACAAACCCAGATTCCCCATTCACGTCTGTTTTCTGCTTTCCACCTGAACCACTTGATTCCCTCTGACATTTCCAGAACACTAGAGAGCACAAATGCCTCACCAGCATTAATACTTATGGGAGTTTGTGTGGTGGAAGATTAGTTGGAGATGTGTTCCATTCATTTATGCTGTGGAATGCTTCTTTACTGATGCAAAGACAAGTTGCATTCTTTTATGTTTAACTCTGAAGCTGTGTTACTTGGCCTACCTAAAACACCTGATTGGTCTAATAAAGAGCCGAACAACCAATAACTCGGTGGGAGATGGATGGGTGGGGCTGCCAGGCAGAGAGAATAAATAGAAGAAGAAGAAAGGATCGAGAAAAGGAGGAGAGGGGATGCCAGGGATCAGTCACCCAGCCATACAGCCAGCCATGGAGTAAGAAGGAAAGAGGTATATAGAATACACCTGAGTGACAGGTCCTGAAAGAGCAAAGAGTAAAAAAAAGCTAACTATAAGTTTGAAGGTAATTGGCCTCATAAGCTCATAGGGAGTGGCACTATTAGGGGGTGCTTCTTTGTTGAAATAGGTATGGCTGTGTTGTAGGAAGAAACTGTGGGGGTGGGCTTTGAGGTCTCATTTATGCTCAAGCCACACCCAGTGTCCAAGACAACTTTCTCTTGACTGTGGATCAAAGATGTAGAATTCTCAGTTCCCTCTCCAGCACCATGTGTGCCTGCAAACCGCTGTGTTCCACTGTGATGATAACGGACTGAACCTCTGAACTGTAAGCCACCCAGTTAAATGTTTTCCTTTGTAAGAGTTGCTGTGGTCATGGTGTCTCTTTACAGCAATTGAAACCCAAGCTAAGACAATTCCCAAGCAGCTAAAAAAAAAATCAACAAATTGTATGCATTTGTGGGGGTACTGTCTCCATTAGGGTTTCTATTGCTGTGCTAAAACACCATGAACAAAAGCAATGTATGGAGGAAAGAGTTTATTTCATTTTATATCTTAGAACGTCCATCACTGAGGGAAGCAAGGGCTGGAACTCAAAGGCAGGAACCTGGAGGCAGGAGGTGATGCAGAGGACAGAGAGGAATGTTACTTCCTGGCTTGCTTCCTATGGCTCACTCAGCCTGTTTTTTTATACAACTTCGGGCCACCTGTCCAGGGAGGCACTTTATGAAGGCATTTTCTTAGTTGAGAGTTTCTCTCTTCAGATGACTTCAGATTAAGTCACGTGGACAAAAACTAGCCAGGAAAACCCTTAGCTCCCGTCTCTTCACTCTTGAGGATTCTATTCTTTCCGATTTATCACCTTGAACCTGATAGCTTCCTTCATGTTCTCTGCAGTTGAGGGTGGGTTACCCTGAACAGGACACTATCAGTTCACCACAGGGGCGTTGATGTTGGCTTATCAGCTGGCCACCGTGTTTAACTGTCCTCAGGTTGACAGGTAGGTAGACAGCCATCTCTCCAGTGCACTCATGTTCCCGGGTCCACCATGCCTAGAATTAAACTCTCTCAGGTTTTAAAGTGGATTTAGTCTGTCACGTTGGAGCACGAAATGAAGGCCTAAGTCACAAAACAATCCCACACCAGTTTAGAATTATGATTAATAAAAGGGTTATTTATTTAAAGGGAAAACTTACAGATCACTGTTCTAGACAACAGCCCTCAGTGCGACCAGGAAAGGAGTCTAGTAGTCAGAAGTGGAGTCCGAAGCAAGCGAGTGAGCGAGCGCATGGCTACCGCTGCTTTTTAAAGCAAAAGAGACCATACCCAAGTG